ACTTAGTTTGTTTTATGTTTTGTTTAAGTATCGGTTGATACTTAGTTTGTTTTATGTTTTGTTTTAAGTATCGGTTGATACTTAGTTTGTTTTATGTTTGTTTTAAGTATCGATTGATACTTAGTTTGTTTTATGTTTTGTTTTAAGTATCGATTGATACTTGCTTATTTTTATGCTTTGATTGAGTAAGAACATGAGTGAGAATTCATGATCGTACTCAAACACATGTACTTAAAAAGACCGCCGCTCTCCACTCTGGAAACGGCAGACTTCGACAGATAGTATTCTAATATACTCGGTTGAACGGTTATCTCTATTCTCCTACTACACCACCGAAGCCTCCCTTAGTGAGCCCAAACTGTTTTTCTCCGGTAGAGAAACACTCAGCTCCTATTGTACACAGCAGCGTGACTAGCGCCCCGGCGTGAACACGTTACAAACCAGTTCTCTATTCCCTTTTCTCTTTCTTCGCTATTGAGCGGGTCACAATTTTCAATTTCGGGGCCATGGTTGTGTTCGGGCTTGTAGGCTGGAGTTGCGATCATTTGGTTTTTCTTCATTGTTACATGAGGCACCAATGTACAAGTATCTGACATGAACAGACCGGACACTAGGGGGGGTCCAGGATGCTGAAAGATGTTTACCAAGGATACTAAATTCACCCTGTAAATAGTAAAAGCAGTTAGTACAGGAGTAGTCAAAAAGGGAAGAAAGGTGAATATTCTTCATACAACTTAAATTTGTAAAAAAATTAATGTAAATATATATTAAAAAGTAAAATAATAATGAAAATAATAATACAAAAGATTAAAATGACAAAGTTCACCAGCAAGGATGGCCCCCAGATGTAGTAATAATGGCCTGTATTCATTCAGGTATTGAATCAACAAACTTGAAAGTGAAAAGATGAATCTCTGAAATATGATTCCACTTCTCCCTTATTGCCTACCCTATTTCATCCAATCCCCAGGGCCGTGGATGCCTCTTATTCAACTTATCCTTCAAGAGGCACCAAACATTTTTGATTGGGTTCAGATCTAGGGAAGCAGGTGGCCAGTTAAGCTTGAGAATACCATATTGCTCCCGGATCCACCAAGTATGATGTGTCCGGTGTGCAGAGGCACCATCCTCTATGAGCCAGCAAGGATAAGCAGTATGCTCACTCTCTTGTGCCCAAAATGGCTGTAGTACTAGGATAAGAATATTATCAACATAACGTTTAGAAGTAATGGTTCCCCAATTATCCTTATCCCAGAGAACAGGCTTACATTTCTTTCCTCCTAGTATGTCTCCTGATACCATAATGGTGTCACACTTAGTAAACTTTAAGAGCAGATAATCATTATCATACTCCGTCCCAGGGTCCCAGGTTACCCAAACCTGACTTGAATGGCCTGAGAGTCAGACATAGCACTCATCAGTCCAAATGACCCAGTGCCAATCCTCCTTCATCCAATACTAGTGAGCCATTGTGAATTCCAAGCGTAATCTATGCTTCCGTTCATCTAGGAACAGCTTCTTTTGTGCAACCCTCTGAGCATATCCTTCCATTTTGAATGCTTTCTGGAGGGTCCTCTTACATGCTTGAACACCACATGCTGCTGCTACCTCAGTGAGGGGCATTCTCCGACTTGCAGCACTCATAGTCGCTGTAGTGACTAGTCAGCAGTGGGTGAGAGTATCATGGGAAAAGGGTTGTCCCTTAGGCTTTCAGGGAGTAGAAGGTACTTGACAGATGTCAAGAATCGTACTAACACTTAGTTTCTGCTCTTCAGCGATCTGTTGGTAGGTCCAGTTAACTGAAAATTGTAATGTTGGAACTGCACAATGCTGTTTGTATGATACACATTCCCACTTTTGGGCTTCCATTGATCTGTATACTTAAGTGAGTGATCATTCATGATTTGCTTGTATTGGGAAAAATTTACTTACCAGTAATGTTTTTTTTAAATTTTACTGTTTGTTTGTATTCACAACATTTAACAGTGTTGATACTTCTCACCAATATGCCGCTGGCATGGTCTGTGAAAATACTCACTTTTTGATTAAATTTCCCCGTTTTTGATTACTTCTGTGCTAACTGCTTTCACTATTTACAGGGGTAATTTAGTGTGCTTGGCAAACATCTTTCAGCCCCCCGGACCTCCCTGGTGTCCGGTCGGTTCATGCCAGATACTTGTACCATAACTTATTTTAAGCATGAGTAGTCGACTTGTACCGTATTATCTCGAGTTGGGGGTTTTCGCCAAGACCGCGGGTTGCTTAAGGTTGGACGGTGCCTGAAGTCTGAAATGGTCCATCCAATCCTCCAGTTCACATAGTATGAGTACTTGTAACTAAGAGATGGATTTTAGATGTCTACTCTGTAATGCTTCACCCACTAGTGTGTGGCCCTTGTTTGATCACCATCCGAACCCTTGCAAATGAGTGATTATATCACACTCAGCTGCATTGTTGTACATGTACTCAGGGGTGCATAAGAGTGATTAATATTTTGTGGCACATGTGGCACCAGGTCATGGTACATGTTAAAGTACCGGTACATAGATCTTTGAAATAAGACATATTCATATAATGAAAGACCTTGATAAAACAAATAAACAAAAACCAACTAGATCAGATGTAACTAGAAACGTGTTGCTTTTCCCTTCGCTGCAATGACTGCTCTAAGGCGGTCAAGCATACATCTAATCAACTCATGTAGCC